ATATTTTTGTAATCCCAATCAAAGCACCTCAAAAACATCCAGTTATGTTCATTATAAGGAGTTAAGAAGGTGAAGGAATTTAAGAGGCACTGTGTTTCATCGGTGATAGCAGAGAAAGCTTGCAATGACATGCTACAATTTTCTGTGTTAAGGGCATTAGAGTGTACGTAAACACTCTATGTACAAAAACATTTATATTATTAAGGATCTCCAAACACCGTATCTAAAACCCAGAAAAATGTTTTGAACATGGTTTCTGCCTAATACATGACCAATGTTTTAAAAAAAAAAATCTCAACATGGAATACTCTACTCTCAACCCCCTCCAAAAAAAGGCCACAAAGTGCATTCACGAAGAGTCATTCTTAAAATAAAGCCATTGCACAAAATGTACAGTTCATCTATGCTGAAATGAGTGCCACACTGAAGTTTAATTGCAGATGTTTTATACACCAGTATAGCAACATCCGTAAGCAAAAGTCTCTTAACAGATTAACAGCAAACATCTTCATAAGGGCCATACATATATACATTTAGATACTAAAAGGTACAGTTAAACTCAACAGCAAAATGTAAAAGCTATATCCTGTTAGGAAACTTAATCTAAATTAACTTGAGTCTTTCTATGATTTACCATTCAAGAAATCAGTATAACATAAATTTCTTGTCAAAAGCAGTTTGTTCATTCACAAAACTGTGATCAATTAGAATCACTACCTGCTCAATCAGACAGCAGAGGGCCCCTCTTCTATGTTTATACTGCATCAGATATTTATAATGTCACCTTAGAAAAAGAAACCTATTCGGGCAAAGCTGAAAATTACCATTTTCTCTACAAAATTAATGCAATCTATATTGATCTTCTGGAAATAATTTAATGCTTCAAATTTCTAATGTGAAGGCAAACAGAAAGATTCAGAAGTGAATTTTTTCCACTTTAAGAAAATATCTAGGTATAATAGATGATAATTCAAGTTTGTAACTACTAAGTCACTGACTAGACAACCACATTCATTCACATATTGTAAAGTTAGAGAAGATATGAGGATGTGCTCAAGTTATTCAAACAGCCAAGAATCAACATTTCACTGGTTTCTTCTGTCTCAAACCATTACCACTGGGCTTGATATGTTAATGAACAATTTAAGTGTCCACATCATGCTCAACATCAAGCACCCCTTAGCAGTGGAAGCCAAAACATTTTAAAGCTAAAAATATGCAAGATCTTTTGACATTATTTCATTAGTTATCAAAACTAGGGACTATTAATGCCAAATAATTAATTTTAAAATATTACAGATCCTCTCAAGGAAATGGGAAAGTAATACTAAGGGTCTCACTTATTCCTGTTATTTTACAATTTTACATGAATTACACAGAAGCCAGAGGTAAGACATTTATGACTGTCAATACTATCTTTGGATAGTTATAATATTTATACAATTAGGGATGGCTTTGTTTAGAAGACAGGAAAAGTGCTCATGGAATACACACTGTACTCTGCCATAAATCAACAAAATGCAACTGTGTCCTGTGGACATGGTAGAGAAAATGGCAGTTTGGAGAAAGGTGTGCTTCTAAAGGCTTTTTCTTAGAGGCAGCCTAGGGTTTTGTTTTGTTTTTTTGTTTTTTCATATTACTGAAAAAGACCAAATAATGTGGTTATGATTACTTTAATTCCCACAACCAAACTTCCATTTAGGCGTAGTTACATGTTCCCAAACGTTTTACTTCTGTCCACCATGCTGGCTTCGATACTGCATGGTCCACTGTAATCTCTTGGTCTTCCCTCTTTATAGGGCAGCAGCTTGAAGTTGCTATCCACTGAGAAAGCAGACCACCAATTCAGAGGTGGCTATCATAATGGCTGTGTTTGGAATCTGTCTCACCAGATGAGTTGTTAGACCACGGTAAAGAGATCCATAAACTTCTTGAACAACCAAAGATAGTGTCTGAGAAAAAGATCTGTATCTTGTTCCCTCTTCACGTAGTCTTGTTCTTACAACTTCATGTGGATATGCAGTAGCTGTGGCACAAGTTTTTGAGGTGGCAGCAGCATCATTCCCACAAAATCGGATGCTTCTTTCATAGACTCTTCATCAGTTTCCATTGTAGAAGCAATCTTATATTCCAGTAGCTTTCGCTTAACACGTTCAAAAATAACAAAATGGATAACCATCTGATATGCCAGCATATGAAACGGACACGCCCTACAAAATCCTCTAAGTCCATCTGTCCGATGCACTTTATGAATATCTTCAAAAGCACCCATTCACTTTTCTCCACAGTTCCTTGCATCAAGCTGTAACCAAATCTTTACAAGCCAAATGGGGTTGGTCGCTGTGATTGCAGTAAAACGAGGTTTAAGTTAGTCCATATTTCTATAGGAAGTGACCTGTGGATGGGGAGCATGAGATGACACGGTCTCACTTTTTTCTCGGGAGAAATGTACAGTAAATGCCTGCCATTGCGGCTGAAATCATGTGCACCTGGGTAGAATCCGGATCAAATACACCGTTCAGCTTTTCCTCACAGTTTGAGTAAGCAGCAGAGTACATTGCTCTGGAAGGAGCCACCCCCACTAAATTGGGACCTAATCCTCTGAACAAGGAACAAGGCCTTTCTTTCTCCAAGATCACTTTTAGGCAGTGGAGAGGTCCGGGAGACACTACATGGTTGACACTGACTCCAGCCATGGTGTTCAACTGAACTTCAGGATATAAAGATATCTTCAAGATATCTTCAAGATAAGTTCAAGATATAAAGTGTCACAGAAGATGACTGCAGCCGTGTTTTTACAACTTCCATTGGATATGTCCGAATAGCTCCTTCTGTACAACCACATCCCCCAGCAAACAGATGCACCAGTGTGTCCCTCTGAGTCATTCTCTCTTCTGCATGTCTTTACCCTCCCTGTGGTGCTGCAGCCAAGCGGCCTCCTGCTCCAGCTGGGTGCCCTCAACCTCAGCAGGAGAGCCTCATTAGAGAGAATTTCTAAAAGACCCTTTAACGGTAACAGACAATACCTTCTGAGGTTCAAATATCATTAACTTATTCTGTGTATTAAAAATCAAAATACCTAAGCTAGTTTCAAATGTGTTCTTTGCTGTCATTAAGGAAACATCTGAGGGATTATTGCTGCTGTGTGCCAGACAGGACTCAAAGCACGGGGAATACTAAGATGACTTAAGTTATTGTACCTCTTTCTTATGCGCCTAGAGTCAAGTTAGAAAGATAAAAGGATACAATTTAAATGCTCCGGAAGCGCAATCGTCAATGTACAACTGCTAAAGGAACAAAGAAATGGGACTAAAACTCCTTAAAGGATAGGGGAATTGTGGAAACTGATGTTCGAGAAGGTCTTAATAAATGTGAAAGTTTGCCACCAAGAACGGAGAGTTAGTCTGGGTGAGGAACAGAAGACAGAGCATCACCAAAGGTACAGGGGCCTGGAAGTTCAGACCCCAACCAATGTGGAGGCAGAAGAACAAATACTTCTTTTTTTTTTTTTTTTTAAGGTTTTATTTTATTTATTTGACAGAGAACATGAGCTGGGGATGGGTTGGGGGGTAGCAAGAGGAGAGGGAGAAGCAGTTTCCCTGCTGAACAGGGAGTCAGATATGTTGTGAGACTCAATGCTGGGAGCCTGAGGTCTTGACCTGAGTGGAAGGCAGATGCTTAACCGACTGAGCCAGCCAGGTTCCCAGGAGAACAGAATTCTTGGCAAGAGTAAGAGTTGAGGCTGAAGAAAGAGGCAGGTGCCAGGGTATGGAGCACCTTATTGTGACAATAAGAATTGGAGAGCCATTTAAGAATTTTAAGCAAAATCAGGGAGAACAGTTAAGAGATTATTATAATAATACAATGAGAAATTAGGCTTTAAATTTGTTAAGTGGCAGAGGGGACAGGGAAAAAAAATAGGAGAAGACTTTGATCATGATTGAGTCTACATGACAAAGGAGGAAACTGTGTGTGTACCTGAAGATCTCTTTTCAAGATCAACTCTTCTTGAGTAGGGGAGGTGGCAAGGACCTATAAAAGGTAGCAGTTGTTAGCAGTGCTAAAAGAAAATAAGGCTTGTAAATATAGGCATCTGTAGGCTTAAGGGTTTTTTTTCAGGCTTAAGTTTTATTAAAAGAATAATCATACAATATTGAGGTTATAAAATTATTTTAAGTGTGAAAATATAAAAACTGCTTATATATAGAATTTAGGGGTATTGAAACATCCAAACTCTAGGTTCTGTCTTTAGCTCCTTAGAAATGTACTTAAATTTGATTGGGACAATATTCCTAGCAGGCATAAATATAAAGAGAATTATATTTCTAAAAATTAAGACACAGGTGAAAATAATTCCTTCTGTCACTGATAAAAGCACAAAACTATAGTGGTCAGTGCCATAGAATTCCCAGAACCCTCTCATTCCAAAAGATTATGAGGAGGCAATTATAAAGCTCTCAATGATGTTGGCAGTGACTGGGGAGGATGACCATGTGACCCATTCCTGACCAATAAGACATGAGGAGACGTGAGGAGAGGTTTGCTGAGAGAACTCAGGAAAGGGTTCTTCAAGTCTATGAAGGAGAGGCAGAAAAGTTGCTCATCTCTCGCTGCCACCAGGTCTGAATGGATCCATGGAATAACTCCAGCCATCATGCTACCAGCTTCGACTGAAGCCAACACTAAATGTGGAAGAGCAGAGAGATGCAAGGGACCTGGTTCCTTGGTGACATCCTGAGCCCTCGCTACTTGAACTTCTTGTTATGTAGGTTTATAAAAGTCCTGATGGTTTAAGCCATTTGCATCATAGTTTTCTGCTACTTGCAGCCAAAAGTTTCCCAAGTAAAACAAGAACTAAAGGTAGATTAAAAGTAAACATTAGCAGGTGGCTATAATGTATTGAATTACATTTTCTCTTCCTGGGAAATCAATTTCATTTACAGTCATTGTAAAATTTCACTTGATGTTTACATAATCCAGTCCCTCTGAATTGTCGTTAGTTTTTTTTTTTTTTGTACTATCACTTCTAACTGTCGGTTGTGTCTCACAGTATTGTTGACAAAGAACGGAGAGAAGAGAAGCAGCAGCTGAATTTTAGGTAGTAGGATTTTAGTACAATGTTTAGGTGAAAGAGACTGTCTCTCATTTATGGACAATTTGAAGGTTGTAGCAGTAAACTCTTCCATAGAGACAGCGTACAGAATAAGGAATTCTGCAATCTTTTAATAACTGTTTTTAAAGATAAAAACAACTAAGCACTTTCTTAAAATTAATCATATAGCCTTCACTTACTTGCCTTCTGGCTGTATGGGAGCGTCCATATACCTTTTTAATAACCTTAAATAAAAATAGAACACGCAAAGCACGAAGCTAGTGTTTGACACAAGGTGTCATTCGCAGTGGTCTACTTGGAACAAAGGGCCATGCTCGAGAGTGTCCCAGGGTCCGTGGAGCTCCCACCAGCTGATTGTCAGGCACCTCCTTGCCTTCCTGTAGCTGGGGTTCTGCTTTCCTCTCACCAATAAATACACTCGAAAAGTTCTATCTCGGGGCTAGTGTATGCCTTTCATTTTCAGAGGCAAGCAGTAACTTTGGCATTTCTTATCACAAAAAATCCGTAAGAGAAAGCTGGCAAGCCCAGTGAACTTCCTGGACGGAGAGCTTTTTCTGTCAGCGCCGGGAGGGTGTGACCATCCACCATCCTCAGAGTTCGGCCGTTAAGCTGGGCAGATCTGCAAAGGGAAGAGACACACCCAAGTTAGGCCGGTTGTGGGAGCTCCACCTTCTCTACAAAAGTCCTGATGTCTTTTTAAGACCAAAAAAATGTGTGACAGCTTATAGAACTTGTGCATCACTGCTATATCGGGTAAATATTTGACCCAGATGATCTCTAAGCTACACCGGGAGAGCTGAGCCATATGACAGAGACCATATGGCCCGCAAATCCTGAAATACTGACTGGCTGGCCCATTACAGAAAATGGCGCACACAGAATCTATAGGAGGCACTATGACAGAGGTACGAAAAAAATAAACATGATGTAACTTCTGGATTTGTGGCAGTTTTATCTGATGGCAAATAACGGGAAAAGTTCCTGTAAAAGGCAGATAGGGATTCAGAACTGAAGTAAATTTCAAAAATTTAACATTGAGGATGGCAATGAAATTTCCTCCTCATAACTGTGTCCATAAACCCTCTAACTCCCCATTCCCCGGGGTGATATGCATTCATTTGCATAGCTTATGTTGTTAAGATATTTTGGAAGAATGTATATTGCTGGAGTGAAGCAAAAATAATTCTGTTTCACTAAACCACAGGTTCCAAAAAAATGTATGTTTTCTTTGAATTCAAAATTCAAAACTGAGTCCAAAAGATGTGAAATATATTTTAAGGACAAGTGTTATTTTTGTGCATATTTATTATTATTTAAATCAAATTAATACATGCTCACAGAAATAAATCCAATACAAACATGGGCTTATAAAGAAAACTGTTAGTCTGCTTTTAGTTCCACTGTAGTTAATCCCATAATTCTAAATGATGCTTACATCTCTATGATCTTTTTCTCAAGGGCTTTTTACATAACGAAAAAAATTTTATTGTTGAAAATTGGTTAATGTCAGACTTATAGGTATGTCATATGCATAATACATGTATACACGTAGATCACTTACAGGAGTGCCTTGCATATAGTGAGTACTGCAAAAGTATTATCTGTCATTATCATTATTCTGACAAATAAATATAACAAAAGTAACCTGCTGATTCATCATGACCATTTTTAATATTTTGATATATATTCCTTCATTTCTCTTCATCTCTTTTATGTATATATACTCATATTTTCATTTAAACAAGAACAGGCATACAGTACATGGTCTCTTAAAACTTGATTCTTTTTCCCTGAGCACATCCTAACATTTGCTCACATACCCCCACTGCATCACTTTAACAGCTGGCTGTACGGGATCCTGTCGTGTGAGCATATTAGGATAGTAATTGTCTAGTGTTAGACATTTGGTTGTTTCCAATTTAGAATTATTTTAATTTTCATCTTTAAAAATCTCTCAAACTCTATCTTCACTAAGTATCAGTCAGCAGAAAAACTGGTTTCCATTTAACCTTGGTTAGCTGCCCAGCTCTGGGCTCTGTGCTTGCAGATGGAAGAGGATAACCATGATTGTGCCAGGGCCCATGAAGCCCGCCCTGCATTTACACTTGGTGCACACGTGCGTGAGTTGTTTTAGTGCCTACATCACACCCATTTTTAGAAGGGATGGGGGAAGAAAGACCATGACCATCATCAGGAAACCACAAACAAAAATAGGCCTTGAAAATACGTCTAAATGCCAGTAGTCAGAGCTGTTCTGCACACATTTTGAGACCCATTTTCAAGGGTACATAAAAAAGTTGCAGGGGGAAAAAAAAGTTGCAAGAATGCTTTAGGACAGGCCACAGAGCTTAAAGGTAATCTCATCATTGTCCATCAACAGTGTTTAGGGTTCAGGGTTCGGATGATGGAATACGGGCAAGATAATACACAAGACCATCTGGCAACATGTTCAATCAACTGTAAAAGTAGCTAAAGGTAATATCAATACACTGAGAATAAGCTTAAAGCAGTGGATTATTTCTGTGTTGGGCTGGGTAAATCAGGGTAGGATTTTCTCGAGGGTAGTATCTTGTTTCGTATTTTGAAGTTAGTAACATGGTGACAAGAAATAGTAGACATGTTTGCCAAGTTTCAGATGAAACAGAGCTGAAAGGAATTAGCAAAATTTTGCTGGACAAAATTTATCTGAGAAAAATATAAAATACTGCTTTTATGTTAAAGATATATTCCCTCAAATATTTACTAAACGCTTACTACACAGGACCTTCTGTAGACACTATACAAGTTGTTCAACTAAACACAATTTTTTAAAAAGGTGATCATTGTTTAACCTTCTGAGGTCATTAGAATGAGTAAGTGTGCAGATGAACACTCAGCAAACTAATCAGGATTACTTTTGCAACATTTTATTTTATTTTAATTGATTTTTTTTTAAATTTAACAGACAGAGAGATCACAAGTAGGCAGAGAGGCAGGCAGAGAGAGAGGGAGAAGCAGGCCCCCGCTGAGCAGAGAGCCCGACACGGGGCCTGATCCCAGGACTCCGAGACCATGACCCAAGCCGAAGGCAGAGGCCCAACCCACTGAGCCACCCAGGTGCCCCTATTTTATTTTTTTACAACACTTTAAAAGAGAGAAAAGTACAAGTGATGTATCCTCATCAAAGAGAACTTAGGGTAATAAAACATTATCTGCAATTTCGCCAATTTTCCATTACTAAGCATGAAATGTGTGATCAGAATGCAATGGGCTCTGATAAATACAGCAAAGAGAAGAATCATTGAAGAAATTGGGCGCATTAAGCCTGGAGAGAACAATCTAATTGTCCTGCAGACACTGGAGCTATTCTGGAGAAAATTAGGAATTTGGCATTGTTCACATTAAGGGTAGCAAACTCAAGTGCCCACAAGAGCCAAGGAATTTATATGTGCAAGTGCAGTAGGACAAGGTCACGAAGATAACAGGGTCATGGCGGGACTAAGGAGAACCTGTCTAAACTAAACAGCCACAATTCAATTCCATCTGTTTGGGAAAACAAGCCCAGAGTTCCTAGAATATCTGTTTTAAAAATTTTTTTAATGATTTGCATATTTATTTGGTGGGGAGAGACAAAGGGGGAGGGAGAGAGAGAATCCCAAGCAGACGCCCTGCTGACTGTGGAGCCTGACACAGGACTTCAACTCAGGATCCCAGAACCTGACCTGAACCTAAACCAAGAGTCAGATGTTTAACTGACAGCCAGCCACTCAGGTGCCCCTAGAATATCTGTTTTTATTTTTATTTATTTATTTTTAAAAGATTTTATTTATTTGTCCGAGAGAGAGAGAGAGAGAAAGAGAGCGAGCACAGGCGGACAGAGTGGCAGGCAGAGACAGAGAAGCAGCCTCCCTGCCGAGCAAGGAGCCCGATGTGGGACTCGATCCCAGGATGCTGGGATCATGACTGGAGCCGAAGGCAGCGGCTTAACCAACTGAGCCACCCAGGCGTCCCTAGAATATCTGTTTTTAAAGAAAAGAAAAGCTAGAAATCCAGACATTTTCTTCGTTATCAATTTTTAAATATTGACAACTTAGTAAAGATAAAAATTCGTCTTGAGTGCATGCCAACCTCCCTTACCCGAAAAAAGGGAAAAAAGCCCTCTAAACCCACTTGTGCACAGGCATGAGGCATAGTTTCTGACCTCTGCTCTCAAGGACAGAACTAAAAATGGCAGACGAAAGGCAGAGGGAGACGTTCCCCTTGCCAGAGAGGACGGCTGCTGGGAGAGCAGATCCAGCCTGAGCCGGCCAAGAATCCAGCAGAGCTGAATGGCCTGAACGCCCCATGTAAGGCTGGACTGAAATATCTAACACTCTTCCAACTCTACAACTATTACTCTGTGACTTCAGGAAAGCTTTTCCCTTGTCAGCATCAGATGCAAAAGTACCCACTTTAAAAAGTCAGAACCCAAATAGAAAAAAAATGTGCTAACCAAATATGCATTATTTACATTAGGGGAAAAAAAAGGTTTAAATGGCAGGAAAATGGATAAGTAAACCATGGTATTTTATAAAACATGCAGCCCATTAAAGATGTCTACAAAGGCTATGTATGGAAAGACATTTGTGGGTGTCCCCTCTTTCCCTTTAGAGACTGTATGATTATGGTTGTAGTAAAATGAAGCCCAGGGAAGACATAAGGTTCCAATGTTAATTATGTTTGTGGAATATAGGTCTTTGGGGAAAGCAAGCTTACTATTCTTTTTCAGGTTCTGATGCTAATTATCACTGAAAACCTCACTCAGCAGTTACAGAGATGGGAGAAGATGGTGAGAATTTTGTAAACTCTTAATTTTTTATGCTCTAGTGTGAGAATAGTCATGATGAAAAACATTCCTTCCAATACGCATTGGACAGTATCTTAAAACGTTTGTGGTGCCTGAGTCTTCAAGGCTCATGGTCATTTTGGGGTGTTCTGTGGAATATGGTCTTTTATAAGACATATTCAATGACTGGCTTTTAAAAACTAAAATGTGCTACAACCGACTTCAAATAATCCACCGAAAAGCTACATTTCTGGACATTTTTTTCTTTCTTTCTCTAACTGGATAAAAACACTACCGTCTCACTGTAAGAGAGTCACACTCAGCTCACGTGGTGTAATATGTATACTGACCCCACACCCTTAGTAGCAATTAAAACATAGGTATGTTTTGCTTTAGTGACTGTGTTACCAAGAATTATAAGTTTTTGTAGAGGAGATAATCTAAATGCCTTGAGGGCATCTTGACCTATCAAATTGTTTCGAAATGCACACTATTCCCTAAGATAACTGCTAATTTGTGTTCATATCCTTCTGCTTTGGACTCTGAGTGAATTATATGTGTACTGATAAATATTCATAGATAAACTTCCTGAATATTAGGAATTGTTAGAACTTGAAATAGTTGACTTTTTTTTTCCCTCCCTTGCAACACCCTCTATTCTGATAAATACCAATCCATTTGGTGAAAAGTTTGAAATGAAAAAGGAAAACTACTCACTTGGAAAGCAATCCATCAGGGCCTAAAGGTCTCATGAGGTATTTGTCCACTGGTTTGTCGAATAGATGACGAGGTAACTGTAAGCGTTTGGTGACGTTGTGGAGGTTTAAGGCGTACAGAGTTAGATCTCCTTCTTTGTACCTTGGGCTAAAAGCAAATAGATTAACTCCCTAAAAATATTTATCGAACTTAAGCAATTATGAACTCAATTGCAAACATAATCATGGATACTAAGTATTAGTCTCTGTAATGATGCTGGGCCTTCTTTTTATCCTTCCTTTCATGATTACGGTAGACCGCTAACGTGGGCCTATTTGAACACACGATTGAAACTGCTGCCCCTCATGCTACCATTTTCTGGGTGAGAACATTCTGAGGTTTTTGCTGCTTTGTCAGGCTGAGTTGCTAGGAAGCTAGTCAGCCCAACCCTATTCAAACCTAGGGAGGTTAAATAATAACAAATTTTGTGAATTCCTAGGAATTCAAATTATAAGCCATGTAAACAGGAGCTTTTCCTAGCCTTACGATAAAACTAAAACAAGTAAGAAAATTAAATCTATGGGCACTTTTCAGAATTTCCATCCAAACCATTCTCCTACTTCCTAGTGGGTCCTCAGTATTTCAAGAGTTTCCACTCACCAGAAATCATGGGTGGCTTTATTTTGACTAGAATTATTATTTTAGTATCATCCTATCAGGAAGAGCATATTACTGAAAGAAACGCTAAATGGTAAAGGGTGTGTCACATACTTACTGGTTGACATTAGTGCAATGAAGGTATACTCGAAGTTTACTTCTGTCTGGACCTTTCACACTTGCCATAAACACGTTGGTGCCCACCAATTTCTTGAACAGAAGAGATAGCCAATAATCCTAGTTGTGGTGGTTGGGTAGAGAAGGAATAAAAATAGATTTTTTAAGAAAAGATTTAATTTATTTATTTGTCAGAGAGAGAGAGCGAGCGAGAGCGTGCACAAGGGGGAGTGTCACAGGGAGAAGCAGGCTCCCCACTGAGCAAGGAGCCCAATGCGGGACTTAATCCCAGGTCCCTGTGATCCTGAGCCAAAGGCAGATGTTTACCCCCAACCGACTGAGCCACCCAGACATCCTCCAAAATAGACCTTTACTTAAATTTCTTTATTTAACAAAAATAGCATGAGCAAATAGTTAATCCTACAAAGACTGTGTCTATTATCCTAGAGTATTTAAATGACTCTATCTTTTTGATCCATGTTCCCACCATGAACCTGGAGGCAGTTTCTTGTTTGCTACTTTTTATCATTGGAGGACTATATCTGCACAATTCAGAGGGCCATGACCACTAGGGTATATACCTCAAGAAAGTAATTCATTGCTGAAGGAGTTTAAATATTCTTTATTGTCTATCACCCAAGAATTCAAAGCAAAGCTCAAAGCAGAACTTTTAGATATACACATGTACACACACACGCACAAAGGCAAGTCTTTACCATAAAACATCTACCAGTTTATTTAAGAGATTAAAATAATTTTTGTTTTTTAAGATTTTTAAAAAATTTTAAGTAATCTCTACACCCAACATGGGGCTCGAACCCATAACATGAGATCGAGAGTCACACGCTCCACCAACTGAGTCAGCTAGGCAGCTTTAAAATAACTTTAGAACCTTATAAGCCCCCTTCCTGAGTAAAGTAATGGATAAGGCAACGGTCATTACTGGCTATCAAGATAAAAAAAAAAAAAAAAACAGAGAGAGGGAGAGAGGGAGAACGAGAGAGAGACAACCAGACATTACGTGCCTCTTGTGGGAAGCATGTGACATCTCCTGTGAAGAACTATTGCAAACCAAAACAAAAACCAAAAATCTGAATGAACTCAAGCTTCTAGGTCTAACTGCCAGTTTACAAGAAACAGAGGAACTTGCTAAAGGATAGCACAAGAATGAATTTAGCAAAATCCAGAACGTGGGAAACACTATAGAAAAAATTACCTTTCTTTAATTAGCAAATTCCACAGGACAGAAAAGGGGATGGGAGGGGAAACTTGCAAACCAACAGACTTAAGAGATATTTCAGTCAAATGCAACATATGGACCTTGTTTGTATTCTGATGTGAACGAGCCGACGACTAAAAACATTTGAGACGATAAGGAAAATGTGCAACGCCCACTCACTAAACATTCCATGATACTGAGAGTTGAGTGTGAGTACTGTACAGTAGGATAATATCTTACGTTTGTGTAAAGGAGATACACACTGACTTATTTACGGATACGGTGATACGGCTGAGATTAGCTTGAAAGTAAGGCAGTGGCTGGGAGGTGAGGAGTGGGGAGGACTAGAGATTAAACACGAGTGGGGATTTATATGCTTTTCTCTCTACTTTGAAACTTTCCATAACAAAAATTGTGTGTCTGTTTTTGTTTTTTTTTTTTAAAGAACGCTACTCAGTTTATACCCCAAATCTTCCTTCTTCAGCTGAGGAAATGTAGACTCAACAGGGCAATCACATTTTGTTTCTCTGCTTACGTTCAAATTTTTCGTTCACTGGAGAGGAGTAGAATGAATTAAGCATTTACAAAGGAGATCTAACTTCAGTGTGGTTTGGTGACTGTTAGAGTGGGAAGCATTCGGGCCTCAGAGCTGGGATTTGCCTGGGATTCTAGAGTAACATGGGACAGTTGTATGACCTCCCCTAATTACCCAACCTTGTCTCAGTTTGAACTTCCTCATCTGAAAAATGGATCTAAGACACTGCCTTGCCAGCTTCCAGGATGGCTATGCAAATCAAACACGAAAAGACCTGTAGGGGGCCTGGGGTTCTCATTCAGGTGGGCGTCTGACTCTTGATTTCAGCCCAGGTCATGATCTCAAGGCCGTGAGACGGAGCCCACCTGGGCTCCTCGCTCAGTGTGGAGTCTGCCCAAGATTCTCCCTCGCCCTCTGCTCCTTCCCCTTCCATGCCCGCGCCCTCTCAAATAAATAAATAGATGAAGTCTTTAATAAAATAAAATTAAATTGAATTTTAAAATCCCATACTACATCCCAAGTGGCCCACATTAAAAACATTATTCTGCCTCTCAGTTTCTTCTTTTGGGACACACAAGTATGAAAACCGATGGTCACTAAGGTTTCCTCCAATTCGTCATTCCGCGGATTGGCTACCTGCTGAACTACCCAGAGGACTGACTGTTCCTGGGGGTTGGTACCAGGGCTGCTCAGTGTACTCCAGGCTATCGCGGCAATGGGCTATCGCGGCAATGGGGAGATGACGGTCACTTACAGGGAGAGGCTCGAAGTTTTCATCCACTAAGTGGTAGTTTCCGGCCCCGAAGAGCACTTGCCTCATCACCACTTCTATGCCCATCCTGGCCGACAGGCCCAGTTTATCCAGCCACCTGGAACAGAGTGCGGCCCGGCTCGCTTCAGGTTTGGAAACCAAAAAAACTCAGTTCTAATTACAGGCTATTCTGATAGACTCATCTATGTGGGAGGAATTGACAGGAAGTCAGAAAAGTGCTAATAATTATAAACAAGCCATTCCAATGAAATGGAGACTGCCCTTCCCCCGCATGTTCCCACACCCGAGCATGAGAGCAAACCCTCGAATACTATTAATATGCCTCAGGAGTTTCTTTCAGGGTAAGAAAACATCTGCAAAGCAGAGTGGATAAATTCTCACCCTACAGATAGTCACTCTCCATCTTGCCGGATACTCTCCCCACCTCCCCACTCCCAGGCCCACGTGAGGAAGAAAATGTTGAAGAAAAGGCGGCTTGTAGTCACCAGGAGTAAAACATAAAGCAAGTAGAATCACACCTAGACTTTCATGACTATCTCCTTGCACACCCTCCTTCTTCGGCTAATGGCAACACAAACATCTTGATTCTTAACTCTCCTCCTCATGGCCCCATGAGAAAAAAGGATTTGTTCTTTATTCTGGATTCACAAGAATGAGGTTAGGAGGGGAACAAGAAAAAGTCTCTGTGTGAGGATATAGAACTATTGATTAAGACCGTTGATCGAGTTATGGAATGTAAGTAAACCAGTTGTTTAAAGGCATCAAGTCTGTGGTGGCTGGATGACGAGGGTGATTTAGTTAAGTCTTCAAACTCACTGGTGGCTCCCCTCGGGTGGCCTCACACTTCAGACTCTAAGCGCCTTGCAAATCTATGAAGAGAGCTACAGGTGCACTAAGGATCCCCTCAGACTCAAACCTCAAGAGGCTCTGACGGTCTCTCTCAGAGGATGGAACCCTTGCGTATTTATGGGCCATAATTAAGGAACATCACTTCTAAAGCAACTCATTCATACAGTGATTAATTTGGGACACCCGTTCGAGATGTCCAATAAACATGCGTAAACATGTTCTTGCAAAATCTGGCATGAGTTATGGGTCTGAGCCATAAAAACCATCTTTGATCAGCTTTTTGGCCGATGAGCTGCTTCAGCAGAAGCTGTTTGATAAAGGGCCGGGAGGACATCGCAGCCTGTCCCGAGGTGGTACCGATGCACTCACATGAAGCCGGCCACAAAGGTGTTGGACAGCAAGGGCGCTCCCCCACCGTACGCAGAGCTCGTTTCTCCTAACCAAACCTTCTTGTGGGGTCGGGTCTCCTCAACAACCTGTGGACAGGAGAGTCCCCATTATATTTGCGAACAAGCCGACCAGCTGTGGTGCTGCAGATTAATGACGTTCAAAACCTTGTATTCCCAGACCGATTTGTCCGATACGGTTACAGAACATGTTCGTGGCCATTCAGGTCTCAGCAGTTTACTTTCATTAGAATACTCAGTGTGGAAGGAGTTTAAATCATCCCCTTCCTATGGCCTTGGAGAGTTAATTCTACCAAAGGGCTATTGGAAGTGTTTTTAATTTTTAATCAATACACATGGGTGAGGCCTGATGCTCAGGGGACTGAAGGTGAGTGAGTCAAGGAAAACATGGAATGTGTCTACGGACGGAACAAGAATCGGCAAGACCGCGGAATAAAAGCTGGCTTCGTGGACGTCCCTCCTCATCCACGGTTTGGCCTTCGGCAGTATCCGTCACCTGTGGTCAGCTGTGGTCTGGAGGCAGACGGCCCTCCTTCCGACCTGTCACCAGGAGGTCACTAGTAGTCTAAGGTCACGTTACAATACGTCTGTCATGCGTCTCACTTCCTCGCATCACGGAGGCATCTTCTCATCTCACATGTCCCAAGAAGAGTGCGTGCAGTGCAATAAGGTGTTTGGAGAGAGACCATACTCACGTAACTTCCATTATAGTGTATTGTTAAAATTGTTCTGTTTTATTACTATTGTTGTTATTCTCTTACTGTGCCTAATTTATAAATCAAAGTTTATCATAGGAAGGTACCTGTAGGAAAAAGTATTTATAGGGTTTGATATTATCTGTGGTTCCTGGCATCCGCTGAGGGTCTTAGGCCATATCCCCTAGAGATAATGGATCACTTTCCTTTAGGAAAAAAAAAAAAAGACTTACCTGGAAAATTTTTTGCACAGATGAAGTAAAAGTGTCCAGCACATCAGGGTTTAGGAAATCTTCTTTAGTAGCAATTCGTCCATTCAAGTAGTAGCTAAGTCATTTAGAAAATATTCAGAACAAAATAGCAAACCGTGCTTCCTGCAGTTAAGTTAACCGGCTATCTGGCTCTCCCTCCGACCTCTCCCCACCCCACTGGTACACACACGAGTATCTTTAAAAGGCAGCAGTTCCAGCAAGAAGAGACCAAGATGGAAGAGGATCAGTTATTCTTTCCATTTTTTAAAAGATTATATTTACCGGGGCGCCTGGGTGGCTCAGTGGGTTAAAGCCTCTGCCTTCGGCTCGGGTCATGATCTCAGGGTCCTGGGATCGAGCCCCGCATCGGGCTCTCTGCTCAGCAGGGAGCCTGCTTCCTCCTCTCTCTCTGCCTGCCTCTCTGCCTGCTTGTGATCTCTGTCTGTCAAATAAATAACTCTTTAAAAAAAAAAGATTATATTTACCTATTTGGCAGAGAGAGGGGGAAAGAGAGAGAGCAAGCAAGGGGAGAAGCAGGCTCCCCGCTGAGCAGAGATCCAGACAGGGGCTCAATCCCAGGACCCAGGATCCTGACCTGAGCCAAAGGCAGAGGCTTAGCGGACTGAGACCCCCCCCGCCCAGCACCCCTCAGTTATTCCTCTTGAAAAGACTGGAAGTGCAGGTGCTTGTAGGCTACCTGTCCTTCGGCAAGCACATTGACTTTAGCTACTTACCCGCTTCATGATTTCAATGATAGTGTGCCTTGACCTTATAGAGACTACCACATTATTTAAAATAAAGTTTAAATTTTTGTTTTACTAATATTAAAAGACTAGTACAGTGTTGCTTGAGAGATTATTTGTTTCTTACTTGAACTATGTCAATTAGCAGTTAAATGGAAATAAGTTTTTGAAGCTAAGTAGTAAGTAAAACTAGCACTAGCTTCATAGCACTAAGAGCAGGAGACATACTTACTGGTGCCATGTGACCGAATCAATCACTTCTCCCCCAGCCTTCAGGAAACTAGAAGAAAAAGTCTATTATGACCTTTACTTAATCTTCATACGCACAGGGTTTTATTTCCTAGATGTGGGCTGCTCCCTGCCTTAGCCTCAGGCAAACACAAACTTCCTAACTCTGATACAAATTATATTGTAGGTTCCACTGGCCCTCGGATCCTTGGTATTCGGAGCCCGTCAATGTCTCCTCTTTTGGGAAAACATGTGCTTCGGTGCGAACGGTTTAATAAGAGGCTATTGAGAATTCTCCACCAGAGAGAAATACTACTTTTACAAAGAGTAGCTCTGCTTCCTCTAGTCCTACCTCCTCAGTATCTTGACAGTCTTTCCGCGGGGCTGGCCAACATCAGGACCATAGAGATTTGAAGTTTTGAAAGTGGTTTTTTCTAGAAGTTTATGCAACTTGACAAAATCTTCTCCTAACTGCAATCCATCGATGAAAATACCAGCCTTCTTGCGGAAACTGTTAGGTTCTGAAAGACAGCAGTTCTCAAGGTAGTCACGTGCCTAAGAATTTTGTATTTGAAAACAAACTTAACATGGCATATAAAAGCACGAAAACATTTCCCAGTTACAAAAACTTAGAATTCAAAGGCAAGGGGCTCCTGGGTGGCTCAGTCCTTGAGCCTCTGCCTTCAGCTCAGGGCATGATCCCGGGGTCCTGGGATCAAGCCCTGAATCAGGCTCCCGGCTCAGTGGGAAGCCTGCTTCTCCCTCTCCCACTCCCCCTACTTGTGTTGCCTCTCTCACCGTCAAATAAATAAATAAAATGTTAAAAAAAAAAAAAGAATTCAAAGGCAAGAAAAGGAAAACCCTGCATTATGAAAAAGATATTTCAGTTAAACACAAATGCAATTGACATTACTAAAGTGTGAGGGAGAATTACAACTTATTATTAACTTATTATTATTAAACTTATTATTATTATTAAACTTACTATTAAACTAATGGATACTTGGGGAATAGTCTACATCCAGTATTTAATAAAGTGATTTCCTTAAAAAGGAGAAAAAGTTTGGGTAGGAGGGGAAGACGTTGAAAAATCAATTTCTACAATGTCATTAAAAGCCTTATTGGGACTGTTCATTCACAAATTGTCTGTGCAGGTGAGCTGGGAAGTAGCCAAGCTGAAGACATGGGAGGGAGGCACAGAAGTGTTCAGTCTGCTTCCCCAAACACCTCGTACAGGCTCTCCCTTGCTCCCTCCTCCTTCTCTCTGGAAAGCAGACCTTTTCCTTGCAAAGGGGGCCCTAGGAAGAGGGAAAGATGACAGCACGGCTCTTGTACCTTCCTCCGAAGAGCAGAAGTGGGGGATGGGCACAGCAGGAAAGTAGGGAGGGATGGAGATAGACAGACGGGTAAGGACAGGTTCAGGTGATCTGTCATTCATGTGGTTGCTGTTATCCAAAGTCACTCAACATCTCGCTAAGGTACAATCCACTCTGCCCCATATTGTGTACTGTGCTTCCCTTGCCAGTTCCCTTCCCTGCAGCAACCTTGTCCCCAGATCTGCCTGTAGACATCACTGTAGTCCATGGCACTACAGACATGTATCTTATTTGTTTGCTATCTTGTCCGCCTGGCTCCCTTCTTCTAGAACGGAACTCCCAAGAAAGCAGGGACCTTGCTCTGGAGCCAGACTTCCTGGGTTCAAATCCCAAGTCCTCTAGTTGTTAGACCAGCATCACACAGCTTAAATAGCTAACTAATAGCTAAATAGCTAAACTAAAGTAGCTAACCAAAAATTAACCTGCGTCTCTTCTATCATCTGAAAAATGAAAGTCATAATTGTATCTGCCCCTGGGTGGTTATAAAGAGAAAATAATACTTATTAAATGCGCAGAACAGTGCCTAGAATGTAGTATGTGCACATTGTATTACTACATCTCATTTCCCATTTTAGTTTCAGTTCTATTGGCTCATGTTTAAATGAATGCGGCTAATCACTAGTACTTCAGTTAGAATTTACAAGTTCTTTGCAAAAAGTGAAGAAGGAAACCGTCGGGAGCTTGACCCATTCTGTACTAGGAGCTTGTAGCTTGAGCACAGCATGATGGTTGGAGGGAGTTGCTGAGATTTAACTGACATATGAGAAACAGAGAAAGGAAAGGTAAGGGCCGCAGTGCCCGCGTCCCGGTGCTGCTGAGTGTAGCCGACCGACCGCAAGAGGGTTAAGCGATCCTGAAACTGTCAAGTGAGCCCAGGAGCTGTGGGAGCGTCTGGGTCCCACCAGTTCTCTTCAGCTCAAGCGTGACATAAACTAGGGTTCACAACAGGTTCTAGGATACGTAAAGGACTGCTCTGCCATAAGCAATTCCAAAAATTGCGTTGTTGAGCACTGCTACAAGTGTGCCAAGCCAAAAGTATATTTGTTAATATTAAAAAGAATGTCATAAATAGGAACAACTAAGCCAAAGGGGAATCTCCTTGCTAATAAAATGTTCCTAGGGGCACTCACCATTGCCTAGTTCCCAAGAAATGTTATAATTCTTGGAAGAGCAATAGTCCAGGAGCAACTGAGCGTTAGAACTGTTCCACTGCAAATCCGCTGTTCGTAGTAAAGCGTTTAGCCCAAAGATCAAGTCCAGTCCTGAGCAGTTTGCAAAAGAATACAACATATCCACGGAGCTTTCTAGAAGAAAAATATTGCAATTTAATGGCTGGGTCAGCACTACAATATTGAAGGCCTCTAGATTTGTTCTCCAGCGAATTACTATTTTGGTTGTTAAACTGAAGGAATTACAGTCCTAATGAGTGACGACTACAATTATAAATACGAGACAAAAATTGGACAGGCAAATTAAATAGTTAAAAATCAATAGCACTTCATTTACTTCAGCTGTTGATTCAACTTTCCATGCTGAACCATGTAAAGTATCAGAAACTTTGGTCTGGCCCTCAGGTTTTGTTCAAATGACCTCAAGGGAACTCAAGCCCAGGCCAGACAGTCAGTCATTAGTCAACGTAAGCCACACTGTTCATAACTGAAACATCTCTGCTCACAAACTCAGTCACAAAAATTGTGGTAAGTTTAACTATATTTAAAACATTTTTTTTGAAAATTCATGTATTAGGTTTATTAATCTTAAATAAGTAAAATTTGACATTAAAAAATTGGCCTAGGGCAACAGATCTGTGGTTTCCAAACTACGTGCCAAGACATCCTGGCAAGCCTCAGGAAATTTACCACATAGCTGTCAGATTTAGCAAATGAAAATACAGACAAGCAGTTAAGTTTGGGCTTCAGATAAATGAGGAATAATTTTTACTCTATGTCTATGCAATATTTGAGAAATACTTACAGTAAAAAAATTAGTTTTTCTGAAATTCAAACTCAACCAAGCAGCTTATTCACACAGGCACCACAGGATCCTTTAGATGCGCATGGAAACATCAGCTTTGTTGGACACAACAACAACTATTACTAGTAGGTTCCTGGACCTGACAACTTAATAATTGAAACCCTTAGGTATTTACATGGGGCTAGGTAAGATAAATTTAAAATTTAAAAAATTAAAAAAAATTAGAGTCACTTAAGTGCCATAAAGGTTTGGGAACTTTTGAACTCAGCTTTTCTAACCATCAGCTAGTCTAAAGTCACGTTTGAATATCATCTCAAGTTGGGTATCATATGCACAATAAGCCTGTAATTTTCACGTATATTTAGAGTTATTTGTTGACTGGAGATCCACTCTTGAGCTCTCCTCGTTTAAAACAATCCGAGTGAGTTACTGAGCAGGCGTAGTAGAGCGACCCTCAGTGTAATATTGCCAGTGGAGGCTGGCGCGCAGGAACGTCCCTCGCGAGGCGTTTGAGGTGTGTTAGGTGTGTGCTGTGTCACCACATCCGCAGAGCCTGTCTGTCACCACACAGTTACGGACAACAGGGTGGAAAAGCTCTCCAGTCCTGTGGCCCAGCCTTCTACTGGATCCTGAGCCATGGCTGGGAAGGCACAGAGTCTTGGGACTGCTGAGTTCTCCCCAAACTGCCACCCTCATTTTCCCATGAGGAAACTGACACCCAAGGAAAGGAGGTGCTTTGCCCGAGGCCACTGAGCTATTTGGTGGCAGTGTTGTCCCTAGAGCCTGCTGTAAAGGACAACTCGACTGTCCTGTCACAGCTCCAGGTTGGACATTCATCCTGCAAAACCACGCTGCAGAAAGTTTCCCGGATCAGGAATCCCAAGGCCTGAGCTCCAGGACACACTCTCCCACTTACAGACACAGTGACTGTGTCACTGTGTGACTGTGTCACTGTGTGACGGTGGCTGTCTGCTCTGCCTCAGCCGCAGATCCATGATCCTGGAACTAGCACCAAGAAGTGTCTACTCACAAAACCGAGGTTGAAACGACATGGATCAAAACTCACTGTGAACCATAAAAACCTTCACAGATATTAGGGACTGTCACTACCTAGTCCCTCTGTGGCATTTTCAAAAAACCTAGAATGCTTGCATTTCAGAGTATTTATTCAACTCATACTTGACTCTTTGTCTATTTCATTTTTCCGAACGCACTTGGAATTTATATGGCTTAAAATTCTATTACATGCTTCCTACAGCAGAATAGTAACATCTCCTAGAATAAGGGCTAAATATTACTGAGCTGGAATCTACTCTAAAAAAAAAAAACAACAACCCAGTCAGCCTACTCTGTCCTCAAAATAAGAACAATATGAAAACTCACATCTAAGGGGCGCCTGGGTGGCTCAGTCCGTTAAGCATCTGCCTTTGGTTCAGGTCATGATCTCAGGGTCCTGGGATCGAGTCCCGCAGTGGGCACCCTGCTCAGTGGGGACCCTGCTTCTCCCTCTCCCTCTGCCTGCCACTCCCCCTGCTTATATCTCTCTCTCCTTCTCTCTGACAAATAAAAAATAAAATTAAAAAGAAAAGAAAACTCACAGCTAATTTTCCAATTCCCAATCATTACCCTTATTGTACAAGAGGGTGGAAAGACCCTGGGACAAGGATAATCTAAAGGACACACTAAAACTGGCACTGATTCTTTCCTGGGGGTTATGCCACATCTGTTTACTTAAATGTGTCCACTTTCAGTGTGGGAGTGGGTGACGGAGGCGGAGGAGTCAGGACATGCGGAAGAGAGGTGGAGAAGGAGAGCAAAGAATTAGCTCATTAAGTATTTGAATAAGGAAGTTTCTTCCTACAGTCACACCCAGAATTACATCTGTAACATTGCTTCCTTTTCCTACCTAAACAGGCTTACACAGGTTATAGTCTCATGACAAATGTTTTTGTCATCTTCTACTTAAGAGAAACCCATCATCCAATGGGTCGTATAATTGGAAAATTTACCTATATCTTCTAGGACACCTGTTTTAAGGGTGTGGGCCACTGACTAAGCAATTAGTCAGTGCCGTGATAGACACATTTGAGGACAGTGACTGTCCTTGCCACCACAGACTTCTGCAATCTCTTCCATTGGACAATGCCAGCTCAAGCTCCTCAGGCATACCAACCTCAGCCGTCAGGGCAGAATAATGTGTGGGAACACCTATGGGCTTCTGAGATACTTCTCCCTATAATGAGTTGGTGTCTACACTAAACACAGGACATTCCTATCTATGTTTCTAAGACATGTATGTTTAAATGAAGAATTTCAAACCAGGAGTCAAACGTTTCCAAATATAAATAAACTATCCATATTTGTTAAATATTTTAGCCATAATGATGTACTGTACGGTGACTAACATAACATAATTTAAAAAAATAAATAAATACTTTAGCCAACAGGATGGCTGCAGTTATAATGACCTACTTACATAGTTAGTGAAGGAATTTTCTTCTGGTGTAGGAACTATGAAGGCCCTAGTCCCAGAGGCAGGGTAAGATGTGGAAACCTACCATCTTGATTCCAGAAAGACTGTGTAAGGTAGGAAACTGATAAACTGGTATAACATTTAACATGATGCAAAATAAAGTAGAAATCAATAGATTACCTAATACCAGGCAGTCCTCTCTTAGCAGACCTGTATCGTAATGATTTATTATAGGTGACGACTTACTGCTATGGGTCTCTTGTACTCTTGTCATTCCCTTCATGGGATTGAGACGGCCCTGCGTTATGCAAAATTCCATTCAATCATAGATCATGTTATTAAAGTGTCAGAGATGTTCACCTTTCCCCTTTAGAATACAATAAATAATTTAGAGGACTGCATTATCTATTAACATGTAAACCATTTTCTGATTTTTTAGGTGTCACATCTTTTCTGTACTTTAAAAATAAAAAATATTTTTAAAAACCCACTGGATATGTTGAAATCCAGATAGTATACAGTAAAACCTTACAAAGACAAATAATCTACTTCCAATAATGTGCTCTTAGAGATGCCGAGTCACTCAAATTAGCTACGAGATAATTTATTTTTCAAAAAGTAAAAGACAGTTGTAGGGTATCTGAGCAGGTTATTCCCTTAACTGAGATCTGGGGAACATCATCCCTTAGTTGGGTCTAAAATATCAACTTGTAGATAGAATTATTTTTCATAGTTAAATAAGGATTGCTTGTTTCAGTTGTTTTAAAGCCCTACATGACAACATCATCCCATTCTGAAGACTCAATAACTGTTTCAGTGAATGGAAATAAATTCCTGGTTCATCAAGCTAGTTCTATGTCTGCAAAGCCACAATGGAAAGAAAGAGAGAGATGCTCGATGGCCAGCACTGTCTGGTATGACTCAGGCTTCCACTGCCTAATGGTACAGCAACTCGTAATAGGGGTTGCTTTTGGGAGAAGAGATGGAATGGATGACGACGTGTGAATGGTTTTCACAACTTGCTCTTTTTTCCCCCCTCAAGATTTATTTTTATTTTCAAGTAATCTGTACACTCAGCATGGGGCTCGAACCCCCAACCCTGAGATCAAAAGTCATAGGCTCTACTGACTGAACTAGTCAAGCACCCCATTATTTACTCTTCATACTTTTGTATTTTATTCTCACACGTGGAATGTATCCGTGTCTTCCCTTGGCTTCCTAGTTGCTCAGAGCAGTAAAGGTCATTATTAGCTTGTGAACGTATGATTTCTAGATTTTACTTCCTGGCTAATAGGCAAAGTCAGGGGAAGAAACAAAAAAATCAGAAGTTTTGGGTTCAAGATTTCCCATTAACTCTTGACACAATTGCTACAAGGCTTACATGGTTCAAGCCCAAGTTCAAGCTACCCATGTATTTTGGGGGCGGGGATGCCATCTCTTACTTGAGTAAGTGCTGTTCTTGAACTTCTCCTGAAACTGTTCTCTGAGCAGCAATCGTTCCTGGAGGGGCCACTCCATCTGCAGCCTCGTCTCTACATCAGATGGGATGGATCCAGACTCGCAAGGATCTACAAGTGGGAGAAACAGTTTAGAGAATCTCTTTTCACAGGGGTAAGGCTGCAATCCCATACATTTATTTTATTACCTATTTATGTGACCAAAGCAGGATAATTACATTTCTGGTTTTTAGGTATGAGGTCAGAGAAAGATATACTCTGTTACACACGTCAAATTTGCTGGCTAATCAATCACCACACACACGCGCGCGCGCGCACACACACACACACACACACACACACACCAAAGGGCAGTTTTCCTAAGAAACATTAGACATACCCTGGACACAGATACACTGGACATAACTTCAAGTTATTTAACAATTCAGAAGGCTCCTCAGAAACTTAAAATTGCTAGACAACCCCACCGAAGAAAACATAGTTCAATTTTCTTAAGATTCACATTCAAAATACACAGAAATTTGTTTTGCTGGACTCTATCTGCTTCGTGATGATTTCCTCTTGCCATAATGGTGGGACAGGAAATATTGATTTGTTTTTTCCCCTTCAAATATGGTATCCTCAACGCTTCTGAGACCACAACATGGACAACTGGACAAGTCAACCACTATGCTGTCAGGCAGATCCTGCTGCTTTATCACAAGGCAGCAGAGCTGCTGGGCGCTGGCTGACCCGCCAACAACTTCCTTTCTGGGAAGCTGCACATTCTGGCCCCTGGCAGCCCGTGCCTCGTCCATCCCTGTGCTCAAAAAGATGTTTCAGACGCACTTGACATTCCCCACCACCCACCACATATACACACAAGATGAGGAAAATGATGAGTAAAGGAGAGTTTCCTGTCTGAACTGAAGAGACCTTGCAAACACACATGAGTGATGGAAATGGTCAAGTCTAACACAAATTATTCCAATATGTCGTTTTAAGAGAATTCTCCCATTTTTTTTCACTTTTTCTAATTACTCTTCTATCAAGTTTAGCCCAATGACCGATGAACTGTTCTGGACACTTCCTAACTGAGGAGAATATGTAACATATGAAATATTGAAATATTATTCACTAATATATGTGCATACATCATTATAATTCAACTATATATACAGCATAATTTTCATAATTGCTACAATAATGATTTAACTTCCACTTGATGTCTACATAGCACTTATGAAAGATGTAGGGCAAATCCTTGTTGCTCCCTAAAGCAGGTTCTCAGGGGGAGCCAACAGGCTTCCAAATATCAGAATCCCCCAAGGAGCTTGCTAAACTCATAAGCTAAGGTTGGAACACGGAACCCAAATACTTGAACACACCCCAAGGGACTATGATAGTAGACAAAGTTTGACAATCACTGCCCGACAAATCAAATCGTAAAATCCATTCTAAGAAGCAGAGCGTATCTCCACACCCTCTTCTTGTACCTTCCATTCACATTCTATTTTCAGAATAAATGGGTTTCAATCCATTGCTCGTGTCTTCAGCTGGAAATACTCTTTTCAGTGTGACACATTTCTGTCCCCACGCTCCCACTAAGCAGCCATGTCCTTCAGCTACAATCATTGTTCTATTTACAGCACAATTAACTCTCAATTATGCCCAGCACAATTTTTTGTGTGAGTCTCACGTTCCTGAAAACATTGGTAAGAGGAAACCTGCCCCCTGCTCCCCGCTTTTGTGAGAGTGCCTCCTTGGGCAGTCGGGAGCCCTGGATTTCTTACTAATTGTTAGATGTCAGCCGGAACACTGCTCTGAGAACATTGAAGACTGACTCAAGTGAATTAGAACGTATTGTGAATCTTTAAAAGTTCACCGTGGTTGACTTGAGACTGCCAGTAACTCCTCTCTTCAAAGGTCAGTTCTTTTTGGGGATCAAAAATGAGAAAGTCCGTCTTGGTGCCACCAAATCGCAGGTAAGCGGGAGACAAACCTCTTGCCAAAGTGCGAAGCTTCGGAGAACTGTTAGGAGACAAGCAAGAGACCAAAGGCATGTTTTCCAGGACAATCCAGTCAAACATATTCACTCTTGAGGTGGATCCATCTCTTAACATGTAGCTGTATGGGGCCTGGAGGGAGAAGTCCTAACGCTATACCAGGGAAGTCTTCTCAGTCTGAATCTTTCTCAGTGCAAGGTCACACGTCTAGGTGCCTGCGGGCGACTTGGAGCTCTGACTCTGGCAAGAACTTATATTTTAATTTGACAAGTAGGACAGTGTTCAGAACTTTCAAAACACTCATAACCGTTTATGATTGATGGAGGGAAAGAGGTTAAAAGAGTGGGCACTATAGGAAAGAGGACTCTGTGTTTATTTTATTTTATTTTTTTAAATTTAATTTTATTTTTCCAGTGTTCCAAGATCCAATAGTACATTAAGAAGATTATCCACCATGACCAGGTGGGATTTATCCCTGGGATGCAAGGGTGGTTCAGCATTCACAAATCAATCAATGTGATAGAACAAATCAATGAAAGAAGAGAGAAGAACCACATGGTCCTCTTAACTGATGCAGAAAAAGCATTTGAGAAGACACAGCATCTGTTCCTGATTAAAACTCTTCAAAGTATAGGGATAGAGGGAACACTCCTGAACTTCATAAAATCTATCTAAGAAAGACCCACAGCAAATATCATCCTCAATGGGAAAAAGCTTGCAGCCTTCCCATTGAGATCAGGAACACGACAAGGATGCCCACTCTCACCACTCTTGTTTAACATAGTATTAGAAGTCCTAGCAACAGCAATCAGACAACAAAGAGAAATAAAAGGTACCCGAATTGGCAATGAAGAAGTCAAACTCTCTCTCTTCGCAGATGACATGATTCTTTATATGGAAAACCCAAAAGACTCCACCCCCAAACTACTAGAACTCATATAGCAATTCAGGAACGTGGCAGGATACAAAGTCAACGTACAGAAATCAGTGGCTTTCTTATACACTAACAATGAAAATACAGAAAGGGAAATTAGAGAATCGATTCCATTCACTATAGCACCAAGAACCATAAGATACCTGGGAATAAATCTAACCAAAGAGGCAAGGGATTTGTACTCAAGGAACTACAGAACACTCATGAAAGAAACTGAAGAAGACTCTGTGTTTCTTTGAAAATAGATTGTCTTCAAAAATGTTACGTTCCCAGGGCCCCTGTGAGGCTCAGTAGGTTAAGCGTCAGACTCTTAATTTTGACTTGGGTCATGATCTCGGCGTCTTGGGATGGATCAACGTCAGGCTCCATGCTCAGCGGGGAGTCTGCTGCTCAGGATTCTCTCCCTCTTCACCCCCCAACTTGCACTCATGCTTTCTGTAAAATAAGTAGATCTTGGGGCACCTGGGTGGCTCAGTCGGTTAAGTGCCTGCCTTCGGCTCAGGTCATGATCTCAGGCTCCTGGGATGGAGCCCTGCATTGGGCTCTCTGCTCAGCAAGGAGCCTGCTTCCCTCTCCCTCTCTGCAGTGCGGACAACTGACAGAAGGACCCAGACTGTGGTCACGTTGACGTGCACAGGAAGTGACGGGCTGAGACAGGGTGACAGCTGTGGGGTGGAGAGAGGGGGCTGCATTCAAGACACCTGTGCAGGCAGAAACACGGGACTTGGTGTCTAACCGGGGTTACAGAAGAGGCGAGGTTACCCCCAGAGGCCGGTGACACTTGCTGAGATGAAGAACAAGTGACGGACGGGAGACGGGGATGAGGGCCAGGGGGAGGCGCTCCATTTTGTCAAACTGGAAATGTTAAAGCAACCCCCAAAACTTACTGCCATCTGGCCCTGGCCGTGTGTACTGCCCGAGCTGAGGGACACGTCAGACACGCAGAATGAGGAGTCCTCGTCTAAACTCAGTGACTTAACCCCGGCCCCTCAGCGGATATGAGGAGCTTCCCCGGGTCCCTGCAGGCTGGCTCTGGCCCCTGCCCTTGGTCCCGCTCCGACGCGTCCTTGGCACCGTGACTGCGTGTGAAGACAGAGGAAGCTCATGCAGACGTTCTGTGCAGCTGCCACAGAGACGGACGCTCTCTGGAAACGGAAGGAAGACTGGCACCATGCACAAGCGGCTGTGTCTACCTCAGGACAGTGTCTGCGCCCAGCCTGGGTCAGACCCCAGAGCCCCAGAGCCCGCCTCCCAGAGGCAGTGACTGCAGCAGCTCTGCGCACTCCCAGTCGCACCACCCACCAGCGTTCTCTGAAGTCCGCTTCCTTACCTTTGCTGGGTTCCCTCTCTATCTCCCCCCCAACCCCTGGGCCACGGAAGCTCTCCCCTCTCAGGCGGAGCAGAGTCTCCTTCCATCCCCGCAGAGTCTCCTCCTAGGCGAGAGCCGGGCACACAGCCGGTGCTCAATAAATATTCCTTAAGTGAATGAACAAGCGAGTCCACCCTGACGGAAGGGCCAGTGGGGCCAGACAAAGCTTGTCTGTCTCTGAACACAACCAAAACCCAATGCTACGGCTCCTGCCAAGTAAGGGAAATCACGTGTTTCAAAGGTATCGGTATTAAAGACCTTTTTGTTTGTCCCCTTTGCAAGGGAGCCTGTTCTTGTTTTGAGAAAACAACGGCGACGCCCTCTGACAAAAACCAGAGCTTAGACAGCTGCAAGACGTGTCATAAATACAGAACTGATCAAAGGTACACTACTTCCAGCACACGCGGGCGGCTGCGGGGCGGTGGGTGGAGGTGAGGGGGCTTGGAGGGAGGTCGGAGTGGAGATGGGGGGAGGTGGTTGGGGGGAGGTGATGGGGGAGGCAGGCGGAGGTGGAGGTGGGGGGGATCCACTGCCACCAGGACCATATGGAAATAAACAAAAAGACCCACATCAAAGCAGCCGCAGGTACTCTGCTCCCGGAGCAGTTTGTGAGGGAAGCAAAGTCTGCGGGTATTTCAGTTTTACCTTCTGTGTGAAAATAAGCGGCTTCTCCCGGCCCGGAAGCAGGCCGCCTTCTGGCACCCGCTGCTGCGAGCTGACAGCCAGTTGTGAGGCTCTGACGAGGAGCTGTTAAACTGCAGGTGGTTAGAAATCACCCAGGGTGGGAGTGTTATACCACAGAAAACAGAAAAATCAGGGAAAAAAAGAAAAGAAAAGAAGAAAAAAATTGAACCCAAAGCAGTCCCCCTTCTTCCCTAGAGCCAGTCGCTGAACAGGGCAGCAATTCACCGCCGGGAAGCAGGAGAGACCCCTCAGGAAATTATGTGACGTGGAGAGAAGGCCCAAGCCAGACGTCTGAGGGACATCAAACATCGAGGACAAGCTAGAGGAAGACATGACGAGGTGTTAAAGAGGCGGGGAACCCCCTGAAACGGAAGTGACCCAGACCCGAAGGGATGAGAAAGTTTCATGGTCAACCTCGCCAAATGCTTCCAAGAGACTCCAGAACCAAATGCCACAGAGTAGTGCCTTCAACAGGGAAACCTACTCTCTCACGGGAGTGGAGGCCAGAAATCTGAAACTGAGTGTGAGCAAGGCCACGCCGCCTCTGCACTTCCAGGGGAAGGACCTGTCCCAGGTTCCCTCCCAGCTTCCGGTAGCTCCCTGCAGCCCAGGCACCCACCACTCCAGTCTCCACACCCCTTCTCTCTGTGCATAGGCGTCTCCACATTTCCTCTTTTTGTAAGGACGTCAGTCAGAAGGGATGGAGGGCCACCTCCATTCCACTACAACTAGGACTTTAAAAAAATTTTTTTATTTATTTTTAAAATTTCTTTTCAATGTACCAGAATTCATTGTTTATGCACCACACCCAGTGCTCCATGCAATACGTGTCCTCCATAATACCTGCCACCAGGCTCACCTTCCATCCTCCCATCCCCCTCCCCTTGAAAACCCTCAGTTTGTTTCTCAGAGTCCACAGTCTCTCATGGTTAGTGTCCCCCTCCAATTTCCCCCAGCTCCCTTCTCCTCTCCATCTCCCCACGTCCTCCATGTTATTCCTTACGCTCCAGAAGTAAGTGAGACCATATGGCAATTGACTCTCTCTGCTTGACTTATTTCACTCAGCATAATCTCCTCCAGTCCTGTCCATGTTGATACAAAAGTTGGGTATTCATCCTTTCGGATGGAGGCATAATACTCCATAGTACTTTTTTAAAAGGTTTTATTTATTTAGTTGACAGAGAGAGAGAGCAAAAGTAGAGGGAGCTACAGGCAGAGGAAGAAGCAGGCTCCCCGCTGAGCAGGGAGCCTGACACAGGATTTGATCCCAGGACCCTGAGATCATGACCTGAGCTGAAGGCAGATGCTTAACCCACTGAGCCACCCAGGCACCCCACACTACAACTAGTTCTTAACTAATTGTATCTGCAATGGCACTATTTCCAATTAAGCTCACACGCTGAGGTAGAGGGGTGAGGACTTCAGTGTGTGAATTGTGGGGGCAGCACATGTCAAGGCAACCCATGACAGACACCAGACACAAAGGTGTTCATTGGATTTTGCAATAAAAGGTCACTGGTGATGTTGGAGAGATGGACTTTATGACACAATGATAGGGACATCGTGGTCGCGGATCAAGGAAGGAGTGGGTGGTAAGGAAGGCCGCCAAGGGTAGGAGAGAGGGGCAGTTCCCGCACAAGCACACGTGCGGAGATGGGAAGGACTTGAGGAGGTTTCCACGTCGTGAGGAAGGACTCAGTCCAAACAGAGAGGTTAAAGGCAAAGGAGAGAACAGATGACGGACAGAGCAAAGTTCTCAGGGAGGCAGGAGAGGACAGAGAGTAGAGATGCACTGACCTGAGGACAGAGAAAGGAAGAAAGCTAGACTCGGCCGTGGTATGTGTGCAGGTTTGGTGGCAAGAAGAAGAGGAAGTTCTTGTCCACTGACTTCATTGGCTCTGGGAAAGGGAAACGTGGCCACAGGCTGAGAGTGGTGAGGCGGAGGCTCCATCAGAGCTTGAAGGAAGTGGAGGATGAGAGAGGCAGGGAGATGAACGTGTCCGCGGTCAGGCACAGGGAATTTTTGATTGGGTCGTTGATTACTTATCTCCGGGAAGAAGGCAGACTGAAAAGATGCTCCTTTCCAATTCTAGAATGTTCTATCACTGGCATTTAAGTTCTGTGTACTCTACATTCTCTAATAGCAAATGTGGAAAAGAGAAAAACCACATCTGTTTGCCCTCATGGGACACCAGAACCTTGCCGTCTGAGGAAATCTGCTCAGGCCTCCGCTGAACACCTCAGAGGTCTGGGCCCTGATTCTCCCACTCTCCAGCGGGGCGCTGTCAAGCCACTTGTAACAACCAAGCGGCCCATCTTGGTGGAGCTGGGAATCAAGCTTGTGTGGTCTGACCTCCAGTGTCTTCACCACTAGGCTTCCTGCTTTTCTTTACAGAATTAATGAGCAAAATTAGCAATGGCCCCTGACAGCAAGGGCGCAGGCAGGAGAGCCCGCAGGTGTTTGCCAAAGAGGAGATTCTCAGCTGTTTGGGCTGGTTGAGGTGTGGCCATCTCTGGAGGCTCTCGTGACCTAGATGACCTGGGCCTGTCCCCGCAGCATCCCGTCCTGGGATCAGCCCATACTCAGGGGGCAACGGCCAGAGAACAAGCACCAGTCTGTCTCTCTCGGGCGAGAAAAAAAACTATGGCTGGTTTTGCAGCCTCATGTTGGAAAAATATCTTATTATTCAGGCCCAGGAGTTCACTGCAATCGTCTCCTAAGTCTCATTTAGTTCATGCTTAGATTTAAAAAACAAAACAAAACAGTATAATACTGGAAATCTCTCCCTTGTGCTCAGCTTTGCTGCGAACCAAAAACTGCTCTTCAAAAGTTTATTTTAAAATATATAAAATCATAGTTTATATACACACACTTATTTTCCTTTGAGACTTTTTCAGCTGACTTTTTTTTTTTTTTAACCTTCCTAACAGTTTACGAGAGGGAAACCGGTCCACGATCTAACCTGTCCTGCCCTGCACTGCGAATTCAAGGGCTCACAGCCCTTCGGGCGCACTTGCCTGGGTCCCTCCTCCAAGCGTATTTCTGGGACCGATGGGGAGTTTCCTTTCCAAACTGCCGGTAATACCTGGCCCTTGGTTGGCGCTCAGGCAGCACCTGCTGGGTGAACGCAGGCGGGACAGAGCGGTCTGGGGGCGGCAGACCCGGGACAGGGAGCGGGGAGGAGGGAGAGAGACGGAGACAGAGAGACGGAGGGAGTCCGAGCTTCGCGGGCGCGGCTGTCAGGAAGGCAGGGCACAGGGGCGGGCAGGCCGGCACTTACCCCAGGAAGGCGAGGAACCGCGGGTCCGTGGCCAGGTTGGCGTCGATGGTGAAGGACAGGAAGGCGGGACTCACCCGCTGCACCGGCCGCTCGGTGGCCAAGTCCAGCTCCACGGCGTCCTCGGCCTGCGCGGGTCCCGCTAGGGCGCCCGGGGAGAAAGGGCCGAGCGGCCCCAGGAGCAGCAGCAGCGGCGGCGGCAGCGGCAGCCCGGGTCTCCAGCGCAGCAGCATCTCGGGCTCACCTGGCCGCACCCCTGCCGGGCAGCCGAGAACGCGCGCGCCTCCGGCCCCGCGGAGGCGCCCTTTTCTCCCTCGCGCCTCACCCCTCCCACTGCGCCCTGCACCCCTCCCACTCCTGCCCTGCACCCCTCCCACTGTGCCCCGCACCCCTCCCACTGTGCCCCGCACCCCTCCCACTCCTGCCCTGCACCCCTCCCCCGCTCCCTCTCCTCGCCGCCCCGCCCCCTCCGCTCGCTCCCACTTCCTGGCACGCTTGCCCTGGCGGCGGGTCCCGCCCCCTTACGAACCCCCGACCCGCTCGGAGGGTGCGGGCCTGGCCGGGGGCCGAGCGCGCGGGAGCGCTGCGGAGCGAGCGCGGGGCGCGGACCCCGGAGCACGAGGTGCGGCGCCCGCTTCCCGCCGGGTCCTCGGACCCTCCGCTGTCGCCGCTGCCGCCCGTCGGGCTGAAGACACGTCGTCCCGCGTCCTCCGACCGACCGAGAGCTGCTCCCGGCGTCTCCTCTCGCCCGCTCTCGCCCTCTCGCCCCGGCCGCGGAGAGACCGGCCTCCAGGGCCTCCGGCTCGGCCGCGAACGGCTCGGGGCCTCGACGCTCTCCGGACGCGCCGCCCGGCTTAGGGCAGCGCCCGTCTCCCGGATTCGGAGCCTTTGCCCGCCCCCTCCCGTGAAGTCCCTCCCGCTGCCCCGCAGACCCCTCCGCTCCCCATCGACGCCCCGGGGCGCTGCGCGGGTGCGAACAGCACCTGCCCCGAGGCCGCCCCGCGCGCCCGAGGCCGCCGTCGCTTTCCGTCGGGTTCCCGGGGCCCGGCCGGGTGCGGGCGCGGCTCGCGGCTCGCGTCACGCTCCGGACTCGGGCTCCGAGGCAGGGACGTGTCCGAGGGCCACAGCTGGGACCTGACGGTTGCACAACCCCGGGCACGCGGCAGCTCGTCTCGGCTCAAGTGCAGCTTCCTCAGCGCGGCTGTGCCCGAAAGGCCCCGCGGCGGCTCTCCCTGCGCCCCGAGCCCGCTGGAGCCGGGCCGTCTGCGGGCGCTGGGGGTTTGCGGGCGCTGGGGCCGTTGCCCTCAGGCTGGCCTCGTCTGCGGAGACGGCCTTTGTCGCACCTCGTGCACTCACGAAAGTTCCGGGCTTCGTGCTTGGCACCTCGTGGCCACCCAGTACATCTTTGTGGACTAAACGAAGGACACCAAAACCCTTAAGGTTTTTTTACTGAGTTTGCACCACCTGTAGAGCAATAAATGAGAATGAACTGGGGGCACCTGGTTGGCTCAGTCTGTAGAGTATGGCAACGCTTGGCCGCAAGGTCATGAGTTCAAGCCCCACTTTGGGTATAAAGCTTACTTTAAAAAAAAATGGGTAAACAAGAATGGATAGTTTTGAAATGTATATCTAATTTGCATAGCTCTATTCTCGGGAAATTAAAAGTTAACTATATAGGGACAGTTTGGAGTTTGTGTGGGTGTATCTGTTACTATTTTGCAACCGGAATCAACTTTATATCCTGAAACAATACCTAAGAAAAAAATTCGTACGGAAACACCAAGTCACCAAGAGATTATGTGGTGGTAGACACAGGGGTGGGAAAGCAGACGCCTAGGCTCTTTCTCTGCCTTTGCCATGACGTTGACCCAAATGCCACCTCAAAAGACAAAACTCACAACAGTTTCTTTCAAATATTTGAGTGATTTGAAAAGTGGATCTTTGCAATTTTTCTAAACAGTGAGGCCTCGTGACATCCTGAGATGTGGGCCAATGCAGTTCACATATAAGTTACTAATGCAGAAACTGGGAAAACATAAATGAGGAAGCGAAGAAAAGCAACTTGCACACATGATGGTCTGTGGTTGAGATTTGATGAGTGTCGGGCTCCTGGATCTAAGTTGGTTTGATCCATTATGCCAGAGAAGTCAAATTAATAGGAATGATCCTTTCAGAGACACTTTGGTCATTAGACACCCACATTCTTATGGCGAGCTCCAGTTTACACACACGCTAGTGAGAGCCCCTTACATGCATCCTAGCCCACATCTTGAAAGGTTGTGGAAACTTGGCCACTTTTTCCGCCTCCCAGAACCCTATTTCCTCATCTGTAAAGTGGCAATAATGCTGCATATTTCACAATCCTTATTTTGAGAATTAATGTATGTAACACATCTAGCGCCATATACAATCTGAAGTAGGTGTTCAACAGATGTTTTCATCAGTAGTAATATTTCATTTAATCTTCACAATAACCTTGTACAGTAGATTTAGACCCAGTCTTGTGATTCCAAGTCCAGGGTTTTCCCACTGTGTCACACAGATTTGATGACTCCCAAGTTATGTGATGAGAATGAATTAGAAATGAAAATATTCAGGGGGCCTGAGTGTGCGGTTGGCTGCGCATGGGACTCTTGGTCTCCACTCAGGTCGCGATCTCATGGTGGTGGCCTCACGGTTGTGCGAACGAGCCCATGTCTGGCTCCACAGTCAGCACAGAGTCTGCTTGAGATTCTCCCTCCCTCTGCCTTTGCCCCTCCCACTCGTGTGCGCTCTAAAGTCAATCAATCAATCAATATTTTAAAAAAAGATTCTCTGCTCCTCTCCCTAGGCCCCTCCCCCATCAAATAAATAAATAAATAAATAAATAAATAAATAAATGAAATCTTAATAAAAGAAAAATCTTCAAATGAACTAGGACAGTTCACAGTTCATGTGGATCATTTAATAATTATGAAGTGGTATCATTTCCATGTGGACTTTGGGTTGATTTTCTCTAATGACATTGGGTTTTGAGGGACTCACACAAGGTCAACAACTGGTCAACAGTTACTCAACTAGAAACACTCATGAGACAACAGGCTGATTTCGGGGTGTCTTCAGAAAATAATCATCATTTTACTCAGCCGTATAGAAAATTAAAATTTTTTCTTAATGTAGTAATCCCTTAGTGGGGGTAATTTCCTAAGCATTTTTTGTTCCATTTAGGCTGTCTAAATAGTTCACATAAACTGCATTGTTTTGAGATATTGGGTTAGACTTATTAAATTTAAATTTTAGTTTGAATTTTTTGGTTCTCAGACTGTACTCTAAAACAAGGGGAAACTGAAAGCAGATATGTGCCGGAGTCTGGAGAGAAAGATGTTAGCCCGCCTCGTGCCGGCTGCTCCTCGAGGTGCTCGCACATATTTGTCTACTCGTCCAGTCACTCGAATGTTTACTGGGTGCCCACCATGTGCCAAGCGTTCAGCTAAGCAGCAGTAGCTTACATTCTCTGCTATCAAGTTTATATCTGGGGGTTCTTGTATGGCTCAGGCCGCTAAGTGCCCAACTCTTGTTCGGCTAAGTTGCCCAACTCAGCTCAAGTCACGATCTCAGGGTGGTGGGATCAGACCCCACGTCGGGCTCTGGGCTCAATGCAGAGTCTGTTTCTCTACCTCTCTTTCTGCCCTCCACCCGCTCACATTCTCTCTCTCTCTCTAAAATAGATAAATCTTAAGAAAAAAAGTTTATGGGGTGTTTGGGTGGCTAAGTCTGTTAAGTGTCTGCCTTCAGCTCAGGTAGTGATTTCAGGGTCCCGGGATCGAGCCCCTGGCGGGGCTTCCCTGCCCAGTGGGGAGCCTGCTTCTCCCTCTCTAGCTGCCCCTCCTCCCTGCTCATGCTCTCTCTCTCAAATAAATGAATGAAATCTTTTTAAAGACTTTGTGTTTATATATATCCTATAAGTACGTATTTCTCTGTGTCTGTAGGAAAATGGCTCCTTGGATCCAGTGAGTGAGCCAGAGGGTGTCGGAGAAAGCAGGAAATGTCCTTAGAATAAGGACTCCCAAGTTCCAGAGGTCACACACACCCACAATCATCAGGCAGGTTATTATGGTGTAGGCTGAGGGATTATGCAAAAGTCCCCAGAGAAGAGCTGACTGCCCAATCTTGGTCTCCTGTCTCTGGGATGATGAAGGCCCTGGAGAACCTATTAAAAAGGCACAATGAAGTGAATTAAGTGGGACATTATTTACTGTTAGCCCCAGGCTCTGTAAACAGTGTAAACAATATAAACATGGGGCAGAAAAGGAAGAGTTCCAGGAAATGCATTGGAAATAGGGGAGTGGTTGGGTTGGGGAAAGAGGGAGCAGGAGTCGTACGCTAGTGTTAGGTGTTACAGAATACACAGATTGTGTACTACATTGTTCCACATATCCCATAATGCACTTATAGGCAAGCTTCTCTGTTCTTGACTTTTGACCTGGCATCAGGTAGTTTCCAACTCTCTTAAGAAACAAGTGCTATGGGGGCGCCTGGGTGGCTCAGTGGGTTAAAGCCTCTGCCTCCGGCTCAGGTCATGATCTCAGGTCCTGGGATCGAGGCCCGCATCGGGCTCTCTGCTTGGCAGGGAGCCTGCTTCCTCCTCTCCCTCTGCCTGCCTCTCTGCCTGCTTCTGATCTCTGCCTGTCAAATAAATATATAAAATCTTAAAATAAAAAAAAGAAACAAGTGCTATGCTACTTGTATTTACCCAAAGAACAACAAAGCACTAAATCGGAAGGGTATGTGCACCGCTATGCTATTGCTGCATCATTTACAATAGCCGAATCATGAAAGCAGCCCAAATGCCCACTGATCAATAAATGGGTAAAGAAGAAGTGGTGTGTGTGTATATACACAACGGAGAATGACTCCGCCACAAAAAAGAATGAGATCTTGCCGTTTGCAACGACACGGATGGGCTAGAGAGTACAACGCTAAGTGAAATAAGTCAGTCAGGGAAAGACAAATACCACAGAATTTCACGCCTACGTAGAATTTAAGAAACAAAACGACGAACAAAGGAAAAGGAGAGAGACAAACCGGGAAACAGAGTCTTAACTCACTAGAAAACAAGCCCGGGGTAGGGAGGGGCGGCGAGCTGGTGGGGCGGATGAAGGGAAGCGCGCGCTGACCTGGAGGAGCGCCCAGAGATGGACACCATTGTTGAGTCGCTGCATTGTACCCCCGACGCGCGTCGACACTGTACGTTAACGTCACTGG